CCAAATGCAAATACAATGGTATAATAGACAATGCTCTACAATTTCTTTCTTTACAAGAGTGTCTTGAACTTGTAAGATCAAATAACATAGTTGGAAGCTCCTTGTAATTTTAAACTCTCAAATACATCCCTATTAGTGAATATAGACTCCATAATGAGGGCAAAGAGATTAAAGAGATGAAGACCCTAAATCCTAAGGTTAAGAAGATAGAAGAATCTAAAGATGCTTTCATACCACATTTTGATCAAGCACATGCTAATGCATGTATTGATAATGATATAGAAGGGATATTATACTATAAAAAGATATTACAAAATGAGAAGATATTTTACTTGTTTGTACTAGGATGCTAATAGAATCATGTTACACCAATCTCTAAATCAATAAAGAGATTTTTAATCTCAATGGATAAACTACATGGATGAACTCTATTACAGAGAACTACATTTTAATAGATTTGGGTAGAATTTGACCAAAAAACTACAATCAACTGTTGGATTGTTTCTTTGTCTGAGTTATTACAACCGATTTTCTTGGGATGGAGAATTCTCTGATGTTTAATATAAGAAATATTTTCGACAGATTCAATTTTGAATCTATGAATTGGGCATTTCACACGGCTTGATTACCACTAGTTGTGAGTTCCACTTCGCTAATTGGTGCATAATATGCTGATAAACATCTAATGGTCCCATTAATTTTTGTTGTTTTTATGGACGTTTTGATATTTCTGGCGCACACTTTGAAATATCAAATAATTTATGGGAGTCATTCCGTACGCTTTTAGCACACAATTTTGATTCGGTTTCAGGCTTAGCTAACAACCCCATCCTCTCTGCTCACAGGATTTGCATCCGGATACCATCCTGAACTCTGCAAGTAGAGAACTGTGCATCTTTTAAGATCCACAGCTGGTGGGAATTTTTTTGTCGTGGTTGCCGTTATGCAAGTGATGTTATAGCTGTAGTGCAGCCCTCTCTCCTCTTCTCTATTTCAATTCCTCAGACGTTAGCTATGCTGTTCCAAATTCGGATATCTTATGCTTGTTCGCGGAGAAAATTTATGATGTTGCCAATAACTTGCTGCGGTGCTGCGACCAAGGTAGGCGATCCTCAGAAAGGACGACACACTTCCAGTGATTATGATTTTCGTGCTGAAACAAGTGATGGAGCGGTTCAAAGATTGCATCCGGCGTTGATGGATTTGGTAGAGGACGACACATTGGTAAATGGAAAGTGACCGCCAGATTATGTTGAGCATCGTGGCAATAGGTCTGTGGAGGTCAAGGTGATGTAAATTGTGGATACGGTTCACATCTCTAAGCTCTCCGCCTACCAGCGATGAATGAGGCCACCGAAGTCCAACCTCCAATTTCAAGACAGTGAATTGGTGAAGGAGGCAAGCGTAAACACTTGGCCACTTGATTGATTGAGGATGTTTTGTGGGTCGCAACTTGTTATGTGCTCGTCTCCAGATCCTTCACGAAGAAGTTTCATCATATTTCAGCATCAACTTCACAGTTGCATCTCAAGGCTGTCGAAAGTTGGTTGTATTAGACTAGAAGATTGTTAAACTATCTCTTTATAAAAATTTAATGGAGAACTCCTATGTCGAAGTACATATATGTATATGTATATATATTTTTATATATATATATATATATATATATATATATATATTATGGGGTCTGCATTTCGTAGGTAACGAGGATTATCAATAATGTGCAGCCTGAGAACGTGGCCACCGAGCTCTGCAGAAGCACGCGTGTAAGGCTCATTTTCTCTTGCAAGACTCTCTCATTGCCGACATACGAATGTTTATGAGTGGTGACCATTATGGCTTTAGCTGTTGGTCGCAGCCTGAAGCCCGGTGAGTCTTTTACGTTTCAGATGCATTGAATTGATTTAGGCGATACTCGGGCTGACCTATTAAAGTAAGGTCATAGAAACCTATTAACTGATTGCTTTAAAAACATGACAAACAATAATGAATATGAATGCAAAACCATCGAGGCTTGGTTTCAATCAGGAGCTCAAAGTTTCGCTTAGCTAGGGAGCTTCAGAGCGTGCGTTTTCCGTGTTTTGAGCATTGGACTTTGAAATTCAGCTCCTAGAATCAAGAGTTGCACGAGTTTACCACAGACTACTACAACATTCATTAGTGCACGAATGGATCATGGTTATGCCTGTATGACTACAAGATGATATGAAATATTTGAGATTCTGGTGTGACGTAAATAATATTTGTGGAGTGCAGCTTTGATTGTGTGAGTTGTCTGCGGATGATGGGTGGATGACTTTCTCCAATACTTCGCTTGCGGTTGGCAAGTGTCTTAACTTCTAGGGGAGTAGACAGGTGCAGAGGTGTTAATTGCTTACAAATGTCTCAGTGGCTTTTTATGCTAGAACTAGGTAAGTCCAATTGCAACTGATTTTTTTAACCGATGAAGACATGCAATCTTTAAGTCTCTTACTATTTGCGGGCAGTTAAAGACAGGTGTCCTAGATATCGAGTGTATGTTCAAGTCTCGCAGAAAGTAACCTGTTCTTTTTTCCAAGGAACTACTGTTCATATGCAACAGAATTGTAACTTAGAATGTAACTGCGGAGTCAATAGTGAAGGTGCAATATTCTGACCGATGAATTACAATTTTGTGCAGCCGGAAAGAAGCTGAAGCTGTAGGAGCAGAAACTGTTTTCGGCAACGCCCCATGAAAACCACGGTAAACCTTGTTCCGAGGCTCATAGTTGCCTGCCAAAGTAAAGCTTTAGCTGTACTATTCCTCTGTTATTTGGAGGTTCCGAGAATTTTATTGCTGAACGTATCACCTACACAATCAATCAAAATATTCTTGAGTTAGAAGTCAATGATCAAAAAGTAAGCTTGCGTTGGCTCAAGGAGCAATCTGATGTCTCTAACTTTGTATTCTTCCTTCGTTGATGTCCCTGCTATTAAAAACAGAATGTTCACAAATAAGTATCCTTTTATGATCCTGCCCTCTTTTTGTATTGCATCTCTAAAGGACGGGGGGGTCATTGAAGTGGGAGTAGTGTTGAAGTTGCTTCAAAGCATGCCCGATAAGAAATCTGATTTGTCAAAAGAAAATTTTCAGGTTGCAATATTCGTGAGTTTTCCTTGTAACGACAAAAACCAAATCCATAAAGCTAGTTTTGGTGACTTTTCTTGGTTGACTTGTTGCTTAAAGCGGAAACATAACTCAAGATGTTTCAATGGCGCGCATATACAGCCCAACAATGTTTTCTCAATTTTTGTCTTCTTCTACTGCTGCTGGAGTAGGATGATGCACTTTCAGTCGTTGTGGAGAGCGAAGAAGTCAATCTCCATCCTTCTTATCAGTGAGCGGGATATGGTAAGCAATGTCACTTGTCAAGTTCTTCAATACTAGCAAGAAATTTAAGAAAGGGTTCAGCTACACGTCTTTCGTATAGCACACATGATCTCTGAGAATGACAGCAGAGTATGTGGTGATCAGACTTTGTCAGACAGGCTGTTGACTTGTCTGAAGTCTTGCTTCTACTGTAATCTGAGAATCCCGATGAGATAGTCTTCTAGTCATTCCACTGAGCCCATGTCAACTTTGTCAGTGCGCACTGTGAAGGTGGCACCCATTGTTTCTAGCGTCGTAATGCTGGGTGGTCCCCTCGTACAGTACCTTGCGTGGTCGTTGAAACGAAGGCCTGAATGGATGCAATCGAGTCGTCGAAGTCGTTGGGAAAAGCCTCTTGCGTGGGGTTGTGCTTGCCCTCCCCCCTGACCAAGAAAACCCCTGCTTCTAAAACCTTATTGGAGCTAGAGGGACCAGAACAGGAAACTCAAGTGAAGAGCAAATTCGCAAGTTTGCCAAGAACCTCGCAATTTAGACTGCCTTAGGTCTCCTTTTCTGGTGGACATGGAATCAAATCAACATCATGGACACTTTGCAAGCTGCAGATAAAGCAATTTTATACACTTTGTTTTTAATTGCTCAAGCGATATACTTTCAGAGAATTTCTAAAACGTTACTTCTGTTGATTCCCACAACTGGGTACTTATCCTTTTCGGTTTTGTCACTGATTACGAGGACATTACTCAACTACCGTTCTTTGCTGAAGTTAATTAGCTTAAAACCTCGCTATCAAGCAACACCTGTCTTCAAGTACTGCTGACATTTTTGAAGCGATTCGAACAATTTTCCACTCTTTCTTTTCCTTCTTTTTGGAAGAGGATTAATGGTGGCATTGTGATATCCTCGAATAGGAGCTTCTTCTCTTCATAAAATTATTTCTCCTTAATGTGTACTCTAAATCACACAACAATTGCTTTTCTTGAAATAGATCCTCATCCATTCTATAAAAATGTGAACATGTGGTGCTGCGGGTCTCCTTTCTCACAACCGTAACTCTGGGTTGTTACCATCTCAATTTTGTAAATGCGGAATTTTATTGCCACAAAAAAAAGGGTACAATGTCACAGTGATGATGTGTTTACCACGGTAAGAGAAGATGGTCTGCAGAAATCAAAGTACAGACACTGCAAGTGGGAAATGGAGAGCAAGCACATAGTCAATATACAGAACAGGCAGTATAGAGTTGTGGAGTGCATTGTTTTCGAACAGTTTTAGTTGGTGGCTACATTGGCTCTATGAAAATACACCTAGATATTTACTAGTTAAACACAAAACCAGTTCGTTTGCGCCTGCCATAGGCCTGCAATGTAGGCAGATAATTATCAGCAATTGTAGTCAATGCATACAAATGAACCACCTCACTCACATCCATCAGCTCTATGGTTCAAAAACCCAGGGTCTTCACACTGAGACCAGAGCATAATTTATCCATTCGCAGCACAATGTGAAGAACCAATCAATTCACAAAGAATAGACCCCACAAATCTTGACTCACAACACCAGGCATATCATTGTTGAATGAGCAAACAAGAAACAGGAGACAAAGACTTGAACACGTTTATCAAGAAAGCCATGATCAGATTCAATAACAAGCTGAGAAATCAATTTTGAGATATAAAAATTAGAATGGAGGGTAAAGCCCAACCACCATGTTAAACATTATACACAAACGTCATGTTTACAAAATTCCTACGATGAATAACTTCATGTACAGAGAGATGGGGTATCTCTAGCGCTGCTGCCATGGTGTGGAAAATGGTCATAGAAAAATGTGCAGAGACTTACACCTGCGCTACTAGAGTCATCCGGCTGTGACGGAAAAAAGGGAAATCGTGATGCACGTGCACACACACCGGTGAGTCTTGATCAGGGGATGACATTTAGCTATGACCACCTCTGAATGACCTGGTTGATTGTATACTCCACTCTCGGAAACTCAAAATTCCAAAGTCTAAATATCCGCTTGTCCTCGTCTTTGTCATGACATATAAACTTGGACACTGGCATTCTTAAGAGTCTGGCAAAGAGGGCATGCATCCAAGCGAGCTTCACAGTCCTTGCAGAGGCAAAGGTGCCGACATGGCAGAAGAAGAATAGATACGTCATTGCACCGGCATGACCTGCAAGTCCTCTGCTCACGAAGCTCCCGATTTTCCCTGTACGTACGAGCATGTACATCCTCAGTGTCTCCATGGTGAGACGAAGCAGCATCATCTGCTTCGCTGTCTCCACATCCCTCCTTGCTCTGCTCTCGGCTGAATGCTACTGCTGCCTGTGCTTGCTGGAGGTTTGTCCTCAAGGCAGTCACAAGCGCTTCTGTGGCCTTAGTCTTCGCCTGCCAATGATGAGTCTCCACTGTGAGCTGCTCTGCGTGCTTCACAAGTTCCTGATTTTGCCTCTTAAATTTCTCGATTTCGAGGTCTTTCTCGTGAAGTCTCCGTAAAACGGCATCCTCGATTGCTCCGATTAGGGCTCGTGAGTGTCGTTGACTTTTCTCTTCGAGTTGATGTCGTATTTGCTCGCTCTGAACGTTAAAATAAAACCAATAGCATTGAGATACACTCTTCGCTCTTCACTTACTGCATCTGATTTTGCAGTGTATTAGACCTAAAGTTACCATGGAAAAGTAACAGGGACAAGGAAATCATAGACAAATATCACATAGGTACCTGAAGCTTAAAGAATTGCTCGACTTCCTCTCGTTGTTGCTGTAAGTGTGTGCTGATATCTTCGCCCATAACAGCCATGAAAGAGGTAGATACATCTCTGCCGCTTGTGGAGGCAGAGGAGGTGGAGTTTAAGCGGTCCTCCTCAAATGCCAGCCGCAGGCCAGTCGATACACCAGTAGTCTGTGTAACAACAGATATCGGCACATGATTTTGATGGTACTCCATGCTTAGCATCTGTTGCTGCTGTTGCCGAGAATTCACCAGGACATCGTCCTCTTCTCTAGCTCGCTTGCGTGAAGCCACCAAGTTGCATGTTAAGTCGTTCTCAGCCTTGGTGTACATTACATTGCTGTTGATTACTGGAGCTGCTTGAACATCGTGGCTTAGGTCAGCTACTGCAGACACTACAAAACCAGCCAGCAAACCCACTTAGTTCCAGCAAATTAGGGCTGGGGCTAACATACCACAAAAAAATAAATAAATAAATAAAATTTAAAAAATTAACAAAATCATAGCTGCCATGAGTTGCCATGCCTAGTGCTATTCTTCACTCTGGCATAATAAAATCTCGCGTGCAAATATACTCCTGTGTTACTAGTTGTGATTCGGAAAGTTTTCTGTCATTCCTAACTTCCCTTGAAGGAGAAGATGCAAGTTGTAATTTACCCAAAAAGCGACGCGCAATTCATTGACGTCTATGCACTCCTTTCGACATAAGTTATCATTTAAATCAAGTCCTCGAGAAAATGCATTGCATTTCTGGACTTCAAAACAACACTACATTTATTCTGCCAGAGGCTCCTAGGAGCAAAGCTACAAACATAGAAATAAAGAATGCATTAATTTCCAACAAGTACTCACATTGGTTGAACATGCGCAGCGGGTCGGAAACTCCCATGATAGATTGAGGCTGTGACTGAGGCTGGATTTGAATTTCATCCAGAAAAGAGGCCGAGGTGAAGTTCATGGGCAAAAAGAAACTTCTGCTGTTTCCCGCAAATGTCTGACTGGCCCTGCTCATCCGCAATCCTCAGACTTAGAGGTCATACAACATTTTGGACAAGAGGTAGTTAAAGACCTCCACAACAAAGCAGAATCACGCAGTCCTCCTCACTTCCTCTGAATCCACGTTTCCGATTCATCAACACCAAAAATAATTCAAAATTTGATCCTTCGTTGGGATCTTTTCAGGCTTTATGCCACATGTAACAGGCGCGACACTCCAGAAAACCCCGCCGCCAAAAATGTGATTACCATCACCGCCGACAAAGGAATTATGATCAGTACGAGGGAGTTGCTAGAGAAGTTAAAAGCCTACCTGTTGCAGTAATCTGGCAATATCACATTGGATGGGTACTGCGCTTGCACTGCCATGGTTCCGGGAGTACGGTTGATGTTCTATATCAGTAGGGTTTTCACACTCAACGCTCTAAGCACCTTGAATTGTAAGAGCACAGAATGGGTAGAGGAGCTTCACAGGAAATTATCCACACGCCAAAACCAAGAAAAAAGAGACCGGCTCCCAATAAATCTGAGGGAGACGAAATAGAGAGGGCGAGCAAGACAACTCGGAAGTGCTAAAGAGCTGAAAGATCGGGAAGGTAAAGATGAAGAGGGCAAAGAAGAGAGAGGGATCGAAATTTGGCAGACAGAGAAGACGAGATCGGCGCCAAGATAGTGGCAGGAGAAGACTGCAACAAATTCCGGGGAGATCGTCTTTGAGGTTCAAGAAGATTCCAGGTGATATGTCAAGAAGCGCTCGGACATGCAACGCAAAACATAGAGGGGCTCCAAAGGAAACTAACCAAAGACAGAGAAACAAATAAAGAAACGAATACGTAAGGCTTCTCTCAAGATCACCCACTCCAGAACACAAGGTCGAGAAATAGTCGACGGCTGCTGCTGCTACGTTTCTCAATTATGCACGCACAGGTGAGCCGGAAAATCCACTTCAACTAGTTCCCAAATTCATCTGCTCTAACTAAGCACTCGCACTAAAGGAACCTGAGCCTGGATTCGCACCCACGAAGGTCTATACACTACCCGGCCTCATCCACCGCAAACACCACCACGACGTCCACCACAAAGACTCCTTGGGTGACCGCAATTGCATTCCAAAGCAAGCCGTTTTGTTTTTCTTTTCTTTTTTATCTTTTTTTCTTTTTTGTTTTCTCCCTTATCACACACCACCTATGGACACAATCCTCACAAACTGCGCACTGACATAACAGTCCAAGGGCGAAGTAACCGCGACTGAGGGAAGTCCACACACTAGAAGGGCTGCAAGGCAAGTGGATTCATGACAACTCCAAAGCGAGTCCGATTGATGGGATCCAGGGCATGATGACAATCAGCATGAAGAGGGGAAAGGGAGTGTCAGCTGCGGGGGCATGATAGGGAGGCGGAGAAGCAGGAGAGACGGGGAATTGAGAGAAGGGACAGTCGAAGAGTCCATGAATGCTACGCAGGCAGCGAGGAGGAGGGGAGGAAGAGGGTAGAGAATTGGGAACTGCAGACCGTTTTGGAATTTCGCGATGATGAGAAGGGGAACGGTACAAGAAGGAGGGGAAGGAGGGGAAACCAACTAACTACTACTGCGGGGGCGGGGATGGGGGTGAGGGTGGGGCAGGCAGGCAAGATAGGAACTCGTGCTGGATCCGGCACTGGCACTGACAATGGCGTCTCTAGAGGAAGCAACAAGGAACGCCAGGCAATCGAAGCCGCTATCTCTTCATTCTCTCTCTCTCTCTCTCTCTCCCTCTCGCTCGCGCTGTGACGCAGGCTAGCTGTCTGTTTGTCTGCCTGATCCTGGCTTGTTGCCTTGGCTTCGCCCCAACCAGCACTGGTAGAGTTGTAGTAGTGGTGTGCGTATGCCCTGGCGCGGCGCGGGTGCGGGCCCCGGGCAGGCGGGCGTGTGGGGGTAGCGGGGGTGCGGGGGTGCCCGGGCATGCCGGGAGACTGGCTCCCTTCGTGGTAGCGCCCTCCCCAAGGAACGCTAACTCAGAGCTACAGCCAGTTCGGCGGAAAAGGAAGAAAAAAATAATAAAAAAAAGGATAATAAAAACACATAATGAAAGCTGCAAAGTTAGTGGAAAGCGCATTTTTATAATAACTGACCACTGTGGTGCATTAACCCGCTTGGCTTAGCTCTCTCTCTCTCTCACTCACTCTGTGGCTCTTGTACCACACTTCCTCCCTCTTCGCACTGTCCTGTGAATTTGCCCTCCTCTGCCTGGCCTGGCTGATCCAACTACTGCTCCTACAGCATTTCAAAGACGTACCAATTGCATGCCATGAACAAAGCCAGAAGAACATGCAATCACACAACATGAACTATATTTAATAATTTTCAAAACTTGGAAGGAAAGGAAAAGTTGTGTGTAAATTTCATAAAAAGTAAAAAAGTAGGTGCACATTCCAAGTGGCACTCTCCTCTGATCTCCAAAGTAGCAATCGAAATGTATATATGAATATATATAGCCTACTCATTTCCATGCCCCACCCCCCCCCCAAATCTATCACCTAAACTCAATGGTGGTATGAAACAAGGTGCATACACAACAGGACCTTAAGTTTGGTGATCTTATGCTTTTTGATGACTAGAGGAATATTTTGTTTTTTTTTCTGTTTTTATTTATTTATTATTATTATTTTTGAGAGAGAGAGAGAGAGAAAAAAAAAAAAAAAAAAAAAAAAAAAAAAGTATTCAAAGTAAGGGAATGAATGGAATTGATTGGTCTTTGTGATGCTGGAAATGTGACTGCAACTACCGAAGGCATGATATCAGTCTTGGTAGAAGTGGTCATTTCCTTGGCCCAGGTTCACTGGCAGTTGCAGTCACCCTTTCCTCTAGTGTGAAATGATGATGGTGATAATGATGATGGCTGAGGAGGAGGTGGAGGAGTCTGTCTGTCTGATCAAAGCTGATGAGTGAAACCCCACTCCCACTCTTCTCTCTCTCTCTTTTTCTTCCTCCCCCCCTTTTGCAAGCAGGCACACACAGGCAGGTTGTGTAAGTCAGCCAATAAGTAAGCATATCAGTAAGTAAAGCTGTAAGAAGAAAAAAAGCTAATCTAAGAGAGCAGGTTGACCAGTAGGGGCTGCACCCAGTTAAGTTTTCAAGGTTGTGAGGCCTTGTGATGTGTGATTCTGTAATTGGTGCAGCAGACAGTAAGGTCTGTGCATTAGAATTGACTTGCTATGGAAGTGGTCTTCCCTCCCCTCCAGTTCTTTATTTATTTATTTTCTTTTCATTTTATTTTATTTTTATGTTTTCTTATTTTCTGCTGCTGCTACTTAAGCTCTTTCCAGTTTGCACATGCCAAGTGATGAAACAACCCCTCATCCACAACAGAGTTGATGGAGACCACTGAGTCTTAAATCTCCTTGTGGACCACCAAATCCCTCCTCAATAATCTCATATGGGGGTTATTAGATTAGGACGGCTCACATCAACACTTGCCCCCAATTAACTCTTTCCACTTCACACAAGTACTCTCCTGTTGTTTATTGACTCTGTCCTTTGTAATTTGGGAAGCCATTTTTGATGCACCATGTCTACAAACAAAGTACCACTCTCACATGTGGGTTCTCCCCCTTGCCCTGCATCAAAAACATCACCCAGATCAGCATGAAAAAATTGACAGAGGAAGTCATCAACATTGCATGATTTAATTACTCTTCATGAACATGGCAAGACAGTGGCCAAGGCAGGTCTTGATTTTTTTTTATGTTCATTTCTAGCTTAATTCTTCAAGGTTGTGCAAACATTACCTCCTAACTAACACACACTCAGATTGAAAATGATGAATCAGAATGTGGTTAGTGGGAATTGTTGAGATAGTGAGTATATTGGCATCCTTATTCCATTATCCCTGAGTTTGTATTAGCACTCATGTTGTATATTGGAGCCACAAACTCAGTTTCCATCATATACAAACAAACAACTGCTTCAATCATTCTCAAGTTAACTGAAGACCTGAACTAATAGTGTTTGCATAGTACATAGCCTATGTAGAATCCATTCAACAGTGTATCATGGTTAGAATGCATACATATATTGCATGGGGAAAAAAAAATTATGTTGTTGTTCATGCATTCAGAAATTGAATAGGTAAGCAAACCCGAACTGATTCATAATAACAATATCAATAATGCAGCATTAATTACCATGATTACCATGGTTGTCATGCACAACTTCCACATGCAATGCACAAACAAGCAATAAAATATCAACATGCTGTATTGGAGATAGTGTTAAATTCAGAGAGTTCTAGGCATATAGTTGGAAAACTGAATCCATGTGCAAGATTCATGTGAAGGTAACATTCATTGAGCTAGGTTCTTCTTGTTGTTCAGCTGACCCCTAATATTTTTGCTTGTTCCCCTATTCCCAATTAGTGCACAGTGCCATTCCACCCCCACAATCTGGAGTTGTGCTGAAATCAAATATAAACCATCCTGAAAATAATTATTGTTGAAATTCTTGGTTTAGAATTCATTTGTTCAAGGTATTGAGCCAGCATGGTATTTAACCATTTGAGCCAACTTTAGAGAGAGTTCTCTGCAGGCCACTACTTGTACTTTAATTATGAATTGTCTATCTTGTGCTTATATACATTATTTTGAGATTCTGGTTTGTGAAAAATAGCACATGCACAACTATAGTATGTAGATAACAAAGAAGAAAAGAAAAAAGAAACATATATATATATATATATATATATATATATAAATACAAGGATAGGAAGGATACTGGCTCAGTAAATAGTAGAAAATACATCCAATGGCATGAACAGACATCATTTGTCACAAGAAAAAGAAGTATTGTTACATAAAAATCAACAAACTAATATGCTATGATATATGTATGTATGTATGTATGTATGTATGTATAAATTCTAATGAAAGTATTGATATTATCCTTTAAAAAAAAGTGTGACCATGTTGCATTTGAGATTTCAAACTGTAAAGCACAACAGCATAATGCAAATCCAACAACAACAACAACCATGTTCAATTAAATTATATTTAAGAATAAATTTTTTAAATAACTAGAAAGATAAATCTTACTACTGAAAAACTAATAAATAAATAAAAGATGAAAATGAAAATGAAAATGAAATTGTACTCATTCTTTTTCATTTTATGTTGTAATCATTCTTCCAAAATAATAATAATAATAAATAAAAAATCTATCAATTTTAATGCATTGTCTTTAAAATCAATGCATCACCTTCTTGTCCAGAAATCAATGTGCCAATGTCAATGTAGATGTCAATAATATCTATCTATCTTTTTATCTAGTGGCATTCAAATTACCAAGTTAACTAACCCTTTGTCTGCAAACATTGTTACAAATCATTACAATGTTGAGTCCTATTTAACATGTAATGTCCTTATGGATGTTGATACATTTTCTTAAAGGTAATCCACAATCTGATTTGTATGAAAAAGAATAAAAATACATACAAAGAGAAAAAGACCAAGAGGGAGAGTGTTTGAAGTACAAAGTAAAAAAACAAACAATCTTTCTTTTAAGTTTCAAATCATAAATGCCATGCACCATATTCTTTGGTATTGGGATATGCACTTGGGATGGCCTAAATACAAGATCCCTTAAATGATTATTGGTAGCCAATACCATGCATGGGTACATATCTCTTGTTTATGAGATCAGATGTTCTGTGTATTTCCACAAAAAAAGTGCCTGAATTGTGCTTTTTTATACATGTATGTAGAGACTGGGAGTAGTTTTTACATGTATATTGCCAAAAGTAAAAAAGAATAAGAAGAAAATTAGAATACCAGGGCTGGGGGTGTTTAATGAAAGCATGAGTAATTGAGTGAGAGATATGCCTATGAGCACTTTTGGTTTGGGGGGGGGGCATCAGCAGCACAATAGTTACTATGACCATGTGACCCAAAGTGAAACTTGCAAAAGTTGTTGCCCTACTTGTTTCTGATATCTAAGCTATACACACTAATTAAAAAATTGACAACTGTTGATCAGCTCCCATGCTGGAGAGTCATCTTCTAAGTTAGTAAAGGAGCAAGAGTGGCCACTCAAGAACTGTAGAAATAGCTAAATGATGATTCTGCATTCTTTTAGTGTGACAAGTTCCTTGCTATGCTATTGGGAACCTGTGTCCCAGGTATGTGTGTATATATATATATATATGTATATTTGTTATGAGAGAGTTATTTCTGTGGCTAGTAACGAGACTCTGGTATTGTTGAACGAGGACTGTTTCATTTTACATATATTAGGAGTTGTTACCCACAAGCAGTTGCTCTGTCTTTTGGAGGAAGTAGAGACCCCAATTTAGCAAATTAGTTTTTTTCACTGTGGGATCTGCAGTCATGTTCACACAGATTCAATGGTTTAGTCATTCTTTTGGTGGGAACAAATGGCACTCATAGAAACAATATGGTCAGTGACAAAGTCTCCCTGATAAATATGGAATAGTCAAACCTTATTCTATAATTACAGCTGCTGACATGCCTGAACCCAGAATCCCCTCCTGAGGCAGTTAATATTTGCAATCATGGGTACACTCTCAA